GTTTCTCCAACTCAACTTCACTTAGTTAAGTCAATTTTCTTGACTTAGTCAAGAATAAGCTGTGTAAAACCTAGGTTAACTTTTGACTTAAGTCCAAAAAGTGGCTGAACTAAGTTAAGTCGAGTTGGAGAAACCAGCCCTTAGTATTAAGGTCTTAAGTTTTAACAACTGTTTCATCTTTCTGGGAGTAGTTAATCATAGGCTCCGGGAATTTTTCTTTTTTAATTAGTCTATTATACCTAAGTATTTATATCAGCCTTGTTGTTGGACGCGGATTTTGGCATCGTTTCTCTATGCGCCAACTGAAGCCAGTTGGAAATGCCAAGTGAATGCAAAATGTCCTACATTTGGTCGTTCCATCGTGAACGCCAAGGAGTTAATGCGCTGACTTTCTGCTTGATGACACAAAATACCTCCTATTTTTCTTGTTTACCGCCAAGCTAATTCGCTTTGTTTTTATATACAACTTGGAAGGGGCAGAACAGAAGTTGTGTTTGTTAGGGCCGATAGTGTCGATATCATCGGCATACGCCAATAAATGCACGCTCATGTAAAAAAAAAATCCTGAGCCATTTAGATCTGCGGCTCTTATTATCCCCATCGACATCAAGGTAAAGAAATCGCACGATAAGGAGTTGCCATTTTTGAAACCTTGATTAGTATGAAATTGTTCGGAGAGAACTTTCCCAATTCTCACGGTGCAGATGGTGTTGATCAGCGTCGTTTTACATGGCCGGATTAGTTTCACCGGAAAACCATAATCAGACATTCTCGTTCTATCGAAAGAGGCTAGAAAATGTGCCAGATTTGCGTATGTGGAATACCTGGCTTATGGAGAATTTAACAGGTCTAGTGTCACATGATCCAATCAGTTCTGTAGCGGTGAGCTTTAGCCTTTCACACGATTGCCACAGTTGCCACAGTTAATAACATCCTACTAAAATTGGCAACTTAAAACTGTCTGGTAATTTGGTAACTTTTCAATTTTGGTAACTTTTGAAAACAAAATTGCATTAACTGAAAAAAGTTTTGAATGGTGCATTACCTTCCTCTTGTTATTATTTTAATTTGGCATCAATTACTCTGCTTTTTAGCAGAGATGCCATCAATGACTAGATGCAGCAAACTACATAACTCTACTTCTTTATTCATATTGGATTTCTTATCCTATTCCTTTACTTAATCTACGGTACACTTCCTATATACATATAAACTTACATAAACAAAAACACTCATCCAGACATTTCCACATTAATGCTGATTACCAAAGTGCATACAAATTCCCAAGGTCGCATCAAACACATACTTGTTACAATACATAGATATGTTTAAACAATACACATTATGGGAATTCGCTCTTCGTTGTATGTTGTGTAATTGTAACTGCATGCGAGCAGTGATGCCAGATATTCTGTACTAAATTACCCACGAAAATCAGGAACAAATCTCTCAATTACCCACTTGTTAGAAAATTTATCCCACGAAATTCTAAAAGAATCCAAAACATAGTAGTAAAAAAATAACATTCATATAGTTACCTTAATATGCATATACCTATAATGTTCTTTCGAAATTCAAAGGTCGGTAGATTGCCCACTAGAGTCCTAAAAGCAAAAAATATTATATTCATAAATTAGCTTCAGTGTTTATTAAAACTCAAGATCTCGAAGAAACATTTTTCTATATTAACCCTGCAAAAAATTGTGCGACTAATCTCTAAAGAGAGTATTCCGAGATTACTCTCAATCGGGTAAAATTGGGCATTAATTAGTCGCAACTAGTCTCATACGGGTACTAATGGAGAGCAATTAGTCTCGACTCATCCCCTATGGGTATAATTGGAGATCAATTAGTTCCCAACTCATCTCTAACGGGTACTATTAACGATTTAATGATATGTACGCACTTAGTCAATGAAATTTCATGTCCGGCGTTGGCACACAGAGAGAGTATTCGCCTAACAAAACTGAGCACCCCGGTTCGAATCTCAGGTGGCGCAAATTTTTATTTTTATTTTTTAAAAGTGACTAGTCGCTTTTTATACCCGTTCGGGTATAAAGGTGAACAATTAGTCTCTTCATAGGACATGCTCGAACAAAAGCGATCAGTTCATTCCATATAAAGAGATCAAAAGTGGTATTAGTCGCATGCTCCTTTGCGATTGCTCCCGGAGTCATCGCGGATCAGTCCCATTTTTTGCAGGGAAGGTAACGACATGTATGTATGTATATGTATACAAACATTGGTGTTTTTTTTTTTATTGTTGAATACTTACCCCGTAAGCATATTCTGAGCGATTAGAATATATGAGTCCGAAAGGAGTCCTTGATGGGTAATAAATAAGAGTTTCAAAAATAAACAAGTAAGAAAGGTTAAGTTCGGGCGGAGCCGGACATTAAATACCCGGCGCAAGTATTAAATATATGTTTTTCACCTTTCCGAAATCTACCGCTACATGGTCAGCCAGGGTGTATAAATTTTGAGTAAATTAGTGTCCTTAAATTACGAAATATTTCAAAACATTACTGAAATTTACCGTTATATGAAAAGCGCCCGTAATTTTAGTTCAATTTCAATAATTTTCAACGTTTTGATTTTTTGTGGCAAGCACAACAACCACACGGAGTTTGGTACAAATTGGTACAGCGGTTAACGAGATACATATGTGTGATCATAAGTGGGCGGTGCCACGCCCATTTTCCAAAATTTTATCATAAACTTATTTCTTCGTAAAGAATTGTTGCAAGCATCAATTTTTAATAAATAAGCTTTAATATTTACTGATTTATCGAAGATTTCTCTAAATTACCGTTATATGGGTACATCAAATACACACGCAACAACAACAAACACACGCTCGTCCAGTTACACTTACGCCGGATACAGCGAATACAAAGAAGCGCGAATTCCACTATTGTGAAATTGTATGCGGTTCATATAAAAGTATAGCCATAAATCATACACTCAAGCATATCTTACCCGGGTGATAAGTGTCCTTGAGGTGTATGGTTTGTGTTGAATGTATTTCTTTGTATCTAAGCGGGGGATAACGCATTTAGAGATAACTAGAAGAAAGACCTCTAAAGATACGTGAGTACATGCATACATTTGCACCAAATATGCATACATATGTATGTACATACATAAATTGATAAATAGTGGAAAGCCCATATGCATACACCAACATACGATATCCGGTGAATTCCATTTAAGCTAAGCACATCGAGATTTCAATATTGGGCGTCTTGTTTTAGATAGGCAGATCTAACGGCCATCAAAGATATTGAGTTTGAAATACTGTACGCTTATTGAACTGTAAGGCGCGGGGCACATTAGAGCGATACGATATGCGATGCGATAAGCGATACGATACGCGATACGATACGCGATACGATACGCGATACGATACGCGATGCGATATGAAATGCGCGCAGTGCTCATTAGAGCGATGCGATACGCGATGTGACATGCGATACCATTTTGTGATAGCTACACAAACTTTTGTGCCCTTATAAGCTTCTTTATGAGTTAAATGAGTTGCTTCTCAACCGAGTTTAGACCGTTCGAATGAATGGTCTATGTTTATATCTATAACCTTTTACAAAATTTAAGAGAAAAGTATGTTTAATATCGAGTAAAACTGATGTTTATTTTTACAAATTCGGCTAAACTTTAAATGAGATATTCAAATGTTCATGACAAATTATTTCAGAATATTGCGTTTTGGTTGTAAATTTTTGCTTATTTTGTATGTAAACACACTCAGCTCACACATGTAAATAACCAAAAATACTTTCAAATTCATTAGAATCCACTTAAACAAGTAATTAAATACTTTTTAACAAGAATTAGCAGACTGCACTTTTCTTTTGTTTACAATTTGGTTGCCAAACACACTACAGCTGATCGTTTGACACATTTACCAGAATTTACCAGCAAAAAATTCTCGGACTAAAGTATTTACTCTCTTTTTTGTCCTCTCAATAGTCAGAGAACCGAGTACGGGATCGATTTCCAGTAAAATCTGACTGGTTCTGACTATTTCTGACTAGTCCGGACTCGTACGGGATCGCAACTATTATGGTGCTTGTGAGGTAAACCAATGCTCAGCTGACGAACCCGCTTTCAAACACTTTTTTCAAAAGCAATTACACGGTATTTAGAAATTGGTTCATGCAAACATCCCGGCAGTTGGAAATGTAAATCTTGTACACAAAGGTCAATTTATTAATCATTGCCGGAACACATCGAGTGTACCAAGCGTTTGGCTATGAAAAAACTAAAAATGCAAATCGATAGTACATTTTACGCTGATTTCAACTATAGCAGAATTTCTTACTTTGAATTCAAAAATTATAGTTTAAAAAACTAAAACCTCGCTATTATAATTTCAATTCCTACTGTCATCAGGTATGTAACTTGAGAATAAAATTCGCTGCATCTTTTAGGCTCATCAATATTACATAGTTACATCCTGAGCTAATAAAAGGGAGGTAAAAAAAATGCAACTTTAACCTCTTATTCCTTCGTTAGTTTTTACTTGCGTCAAAAAAAATTTGGTATAGTTCGAACCAGATTTTTTAGTTTCTCCACAGCTAAAGGGTTGGAATATTCGATGTACATATGCCGCATTGCCATTACTTATTTTCTATGAATTCGTCCGTAACAAAATGGTGTAGAGTTGGGACTATCAACTCTCCACGGAACATATTTAAGTGATGGCAACTCTAGATGTTTTTTCTCCACTGCCACCCTATTGACATGTGTTTGTATTTAAAGTTGCCATATGTTGTTGTTATAAATGATATTGCCAAAAAAAAGTTTTTCGAATTGTCCCTAAATACAAATTTAAATATAAAAAGTATTTTCCGCAACCAAAAGTGATAAATTTTATCATTTCATGAATTTAGTAGGCCACTTTCTCTAGTATATAAGGCTGAAACTGATAAACAATACAAGTGTTGTCTAGCGATTCGATATGGCAGCATCAATACATACTATGCATCAGCATCCCTGTGTTTCGTGAAAAAATTTCTTTTCGTGTTTCGTGAAAATTTTCGTTCCTATTTTTAACAAAATTTTGCTAAAAGTGTAAAGCGAAGTGTCTATTCATTGAAATAACATTATTTTTCTCGAAAGCGAGAGTTAAATAGTGCAGTTATTATCGTGTTTTCTAGCACAGTCACAGAAGTACACATACCAATGGAATAACACTGACTTCGGTTCGAGGAAGTTGTGACGACTTTGTTCATAATTGTTCTCCTCACACACCTCCCTTTCCACTTGATGGTTTTTGCTTTTAGCAAAAAAGACTCCAAATGTTGTGCTCCAATACTGAAATGCAAGTTTAATGGGGCCTAGTGTTTAACTCTGGTTAACTCCACATCCAGAAGTGCTGTGCTGTGTCACACGCACACACGAATACGTTTTCAGGAGTTGTAGTGCATCTGGTAAGTTCCGTGGCTGAGTTTTTGTTGTACATACTTTGATGAAAAAGGCTATGGTGGACATTAAGTCGAATTAAAAAATAGTTAACTCCTCTCCCAATAGTAATTTGTGGCAAAATGAGTAGCGGCGGTACGTCGACTGGATCTGGGTCCGGTGAGAAGGAAAAAGACTCCCATTGGTACTTTAACTCCGAACAGCTTACGAACTCTCCGAGTCGTAGACAAGGAATCGATGCTGATACGGAATTATCTTATAGACAAATGACTGCTTACCTTATTCAAGAAATGGGACAACGTCTACAGGTGTAAGTGCCAAATTTTGCAGCAGTAGTTTTGAAAGTAGCTACAAAAGCTGTACAATTATTATTTATTATTTCTTTGCGGTTACAGCTCTCAACTTTGCATCAACACTGCCATTGTGTATATGCATCGCTTTTATGCGTTCCATTCTTTCACGCATTTCCACCGCAATAACATTGCGGCAGCGAGTTTATTCCTAGCTGCTAAGGTTGAAGAGCAGCCTCGAAAACTTGAACATGTTATCAAGGCTGCTAACAAGTGCCTTAGCCAGCCCACGTCTTCCACCACGGACGCTTATTATATTGAACAGGCACAGGAGCTGGTCTTTAATGAAAATGTTCTATTACAAACACTTGGATTTGATGTAGCAATTGACCATCCGCATACGCATGTCGTAAAGACATGCCATTTGGTCAAAGGTAAATACATTTTTATTTTTTCTTTTTTATTGGTACTGGAAAGTTAATTTGTAAATTTTTTATATGCAGCTTGCAAGGATTTAGCACAAACTTCCTACTTTCTGGCTTCTAACAGGTCGGTGTTTTTGAAAATTCATCTGTATTCTATTGTACTCTGCTATAGTGTTTCTTAACGTAACCAATTTGTTAAATCATTTATCATTTTTGGACACCATCTAATTCGTTTATTTTATAGTCTTCATCTGACGTCTATGTGCCTGCAATACAAACCGACAGTGGTAGCTTGTTTCTGTATCTACTTAGCTTGCAAGTGGTCACGTTGGGAGGTAAGAAAAGGAATCTGTTTCAAACACATTTAAAAACACTAAAAGTATTTAAAATCGAACACAGATTCCGCAATCAACGGAAGGCAAACACTGGTTCCATTATGTCGATAAAACTGTTACCATGGATTTACTGAAGCAATTGACTGATGAATTTATAGCCATTTACGAGAAAAGTCCATCCCGCCTGAAATCCAAATTAAACTCGATAAAAGCCCTTGCTCAAAATGCTAGCAATCGTGTAATTAATAGTAAAGATAAGAAAGAAGAGTGGAAAATGGGTGATATGATGAAAATGTATGCGCATGACACACCTGGTAGTGGCGGCAGCTGTGGTGGTAATAGCAATCAGTCATTTTCTACAAGTTCTCTTGGCGTGGAACAGTCACATCAGCAGTCGCCCGCATTGTTGCCGCCTCCTCCACCACAGACACAACTGTCACGAAAAAGCGAGTTGCATTCCAGCCAACATCGCTCACACCACAGTTCTTCATCCCACCACTCGAAAATCAATTTTCCGTCATCCGATGTTCTTGGTAAGAATTTTCAAGTAAAATTACTATTTCTTGGAATATTCTTTGAGTAACCAATTAAAATAACCGTTGAACGGCTGAACATACAAATAAGTGGGATACGTTTTAGACATCATTGAATCCCTTCTATATGAATTCAATCGGATGTGTGCAAGCATTTCATAGAATTTAACTCTTTGAAAGAAAAGCCATATACAAAAATACAGTCAATCTTCCATAACTCGAACTAAATTGTGTCTCAAAAGCGTTTATTTAGTCGGATTTATTTATCAGTGGTGGCAACATGGAATGATAAAGAGTTTGAAAGGTTGAACGAAATATCGCAAATTTTCCCAAAAGAGAGTGGTTGATAAATGTGGTGTCGAAGCGAACACAATTTCATTATTTAAGGATAAAAAACCAGCTTTAAAAAGTGTGGACAAAATTCGTATAGATGGGCTTCACCAGCTGAAAACAAAAACATATAGGAATAATAATTATTGAAGGTCAATGCAGTGAATCCTTCAAAGCGATTTGGTAAAAAAAATAATAAGCTAGGTACATATGTGTTTGCGTATTAGTAGATGAGAGGTACTGTAATGGTGATCCGAATTATGGAAGTTTGACTGTACACACCTCTATGAATTAATATTCAAATGGAACATGAAATATACATAATATAAATACTCTTCTTTAATGAAAACTGGAAACAACAATTTTTGTAGTGGACCCATGTTCTTCTGAATAAAACGCATTAAAATAAAACTGGAATAGCGCAACGCCAAAAGTTTGCTTTAAATACATACTAGTTTTATCCCACAAGCTACTCTGAAGTCACTTTGAGTTACACTTACTAGTAAAGACAGAGTAAAACTCTCCTTATAAAATGGCTAAAACTAACACACGCTTTACTCGAAATTTTTCCTTGAGCGTAATTTGTGATAACAAACATTTATTTATAGAAATTAACATGAAATCGTTCCACGAATTTTCGTATAAGGAGATTATTTTTTCAGTAGAAACTGAAGTTTGAACTGATGTAGCTCGTGTTTTTCCTTCTAGTAGCTCGTGGCAAATACCAGTTTCTCTTCTAATAAGTTTCACTGGTCCCATATTTTAATGAAATGCAACTTGTGTTAAATTCCTTACTTTTTTTATTGTATTGCTGAAACCTGCTGTATAAAGACTCAAATAGTATGCGTTAAGCTGAAATATATATTTATAATTTTTAGACCATAAAAGTAGTCACAAGCAACCACCGTTCTCTGGCGTTGTTAGCCGCCCACGTGATCATACGCAACCGTCTCAGGGACATCAGCAACCTCTGATTGCGGGCAATTCATCACGATCAAGCCTTTCGACATCTAGCGGGCGATCATTAAGTAGCATACCTGGTCAAAATCTACCGCGACAGACTTTACAAGGCCACCAACTGGATGTTAACTATCATAAATCTCGTGAAAAGAGTAATCTTATAAGTTCGTATCCCCACACCGCACCATCGCAACCTCATTCTGGACACAAAGTCTCACAAAAGCAAGAATCGAATCGAGTTCTGCAGAAAGAGCAGACTACTGTCAAAATGACCGAACCAGGCAAAAGCGGCAGCAGTACCAGTAGTAACAGTAATAAACTATTCCCACCTTCTTCTTCTATGCCAACTATGTCACAGTATGGTAGTAACGCTCCACAGGCACAAAATAAGTTGGATATGGGCCAAGATTTGCCCCGTAACTTAATGCATGGTCAGCGTGGTTATGGAATTAATAATGGCTCTGGAAGTGTTCCATTATTGGGTAGTTATCAATCACAGCATACACGCCAGAGTAGCAATAGCAGCAAGCACGATTTATCAAAACCTGCTTCCGTCCATCTTCAACAACATGGAAAACAACCATCAATTCCACCTGAATCAGCATATAGCACTGGCACTCACGAGTCTCAACCAGCTCCACATACACAAACTCATCCTGTCGCCAGTTATTTGAACATAAGGCCGCCAGAGGCTTCAAGCAACGAAGATAACAATACCACTCAGCTGCCGTCAGTGCATGCGATATTACAACAGCCAACGAATGCTAATCAATCGAAAACTTCTTTGTTTAGTCCCGATTGGAGTGAGAAACTGCAGCCACAACAACCGCAACAAATAATTGGCGGAAATAATAATTATGTTAATACTAATGTTCCACCACCCACTGCGGGCGATGCATATAATTACAAATTCCCATTAAATAAGGACGGAGAGCGAGAGAAAAACATGGACGTCAGTGTTTCATCCATTAAAAAGGAACGGAATCGAGGACCACATGCGGGTATGGATTTAACTGGGTCAATGATAATGGGTGTGCGACCGAACGCATCTCAATCCCAGTTCCACCAACAGTTGCAGCAACAGCAGCCATTAAAGATAAACATGCCAAAGAAAGTGGAATCCAACATTATGGGTGATCTTACTGGTAAGTGTAATTAGAAATGTCAATATTTTTTATAGATACTATGACATGACTATAGACATATCACAAAGCTACGTTAATTCCGTTGGTTCAAATCAGGGTTACCCAGCTCAAAACTATCCGCGGGCGGGAGCTGAAATATAAATTCAATTAAAAACCATACTCCCTGGGAGTTTTCTCTGTTTTCCCTTTGAGGATTTCTTTCTCGGGAGATACAAATTTCTGGAGAACGAACTCCCCGGGAGTATTCAGAATTGGGCTGATACTGACTACACAAGAGGTAAACAATTCAATGCCTAGATCATTCGGGGCCTACGCTATTTTTTTTAACTGCCGAGGTAACAATAGCATGATTTGGGCTATAACCATAGGTTATAGCATCGGTTCATTAATGTCAGGCAGCTCTGCTGGCCTCGCTGTTGTTATAACAGCATAAAACTTTCCCAACAGTTTTGGAGAGTGCTGTAGAACTGACAAGCCTTGGTCGTGGGAATAACTACGTTCATAATCGCCTCGTGGAGAGTTGTCAAGGCGTCCGCACTTAGCCATTCCGCTGAAAAATACACAGGCAAAATTAGGATAATCCTGGGTCTTTTGAATTAGCTTTGGTTATGCCTCTGTTCGTTCTCTAGTATCGATGCTTAGGAGTTTTCCTGCAGCCCTCTTGGCCTTGAAGTTGACTGGATGTGATCCCACCCATACTTCTTAGATTCCATTGTTGTTGTTGTCAACAGCATACACATTCCCACAGAGTTTTTGGAGACTGATGCTGGAGTGATATGCCTTGGCCAGATACGAACCCGAAAAAAAACATTTTCTTAGATCGTTCCAAAAAAAAAACTCTTTCTTAGATTCCGTTGCCAGGTGGGGTATTATTTGCCCGTCCCTTTGCTTTTAATTGGGCGCGGATGTTACTTAGATAACCAGCACTTTTCAGGGCTTTTGCTGCTCCTTTCAGCTCACAGCCATAAACAAAAAAAGGATCCACGCAGATGAAAAAGAAATGACACACAGTGCGGTGATACGCGGTAGAACATCAGTTCTCTCTAAATGTCTCCTCTTCTCTACCTACCTACCTGCATAGCGACTGATGTGTCTAGGAAGAGGTTCTGCTTTCAACAGTGCCTTTCGTGTGCTCGCATTGTTAGCAGCCGACCAGGAACTGCTTGGTCGGCATTGCGTTGTGTTTTATCAATAGTCGTCCTCGAGCTGGGTGCGTACAGAAATGCATCAAGGCAAAACATCAGTCTCTTTTACTTCTAAACTATAACTGATGGAAATGCCTTATTTACGCAACTAAGCTCCAATTAGGCATTTAACCGCGCATATTGGACATTTCAATCAAANGATGGAAATGCCTTATTTACGCAACTAAGCTCCAATTAGGCATTTAACCGTGGTTGCGCATATTGGACATTTCAATCAACTATAGTTTAGAAATAAATGCGTCTGATGTTTTGGCTTGATGCATGATGTATTATGGCATGGAATGGCAAACTATGTTAAAACCTTTGACAAGTTCAGCGCTTCCAGGATAGTTCTGCCGGAGGCGGTTATGGTTAAGGCTGTGTCAATTATTATTTTATTGAAAAGAATTATTAAATATATGTATATCACTCAAAAGTGATGTATGTATGTATGTATATATGAATCTAGTATTTTTCATGATATGGTAATTTCATTGTAAATAAATTTTTCACGATTTTTAATTCACAGCTATAAATGCTGCTGTTAAACGTCCCAATGAAGGTGCCTACAAACAGGATGAGGAGCAAAGTAAAATACGCAAACTTGATACTCAAACTTCATTGTCTTCTTATAATGACCTAAAAACAAGTGACACTAATAAGCTACATGTCGTAAATGGAATAGAAACGAATCCTGATCTGGTAAGGAGTTTATTGAAAGAAAGCCTTTGCACTTCCAATGCTCTCCTAAAAACGGAGCAATTGGGAGCACCTAGTCTGCAACCACCAGCTGAACTTTTTGAACCATCTGCGACAGCTGCTTCGACAATGGCTGCTCCGATTGCTGAGACTTCTTTAAAATCTACAAGCTTAAGTAGTGGCACTGAACCTTCGTCTATGGAAATTAATGAGTCAGGAAGCAGTAAGGCAGAAAAGAAAAAGAAAAAAGACAAGCATAAACATAAAGAGAAGGATAAGGATAAGTCGAAAGATCGCGAAGAACGAAAGAAGCATAAAAAGGATAAAGACAAACATAAGGAGCGGGATCGGGGTGAATTAGACAGCTCGGAGCATGTAAAGATTAAAATATCCAAAGATAAAATTGAAGGTAGTGCGGAATCCTTAAAGATAAAAATACCGAAAGATCGTATAATAAGCGATGTGAACAGTAGTTCTGGCAACATTAACCATAATGCAGATGGTGGCGGTGCTATCATGCACCCTGCTCCAGCGTTGAAGATCAAAATTAGTAAGGATAAATTGGAAAACTATGCGACCGACTCTGCAACACATTCGTCTTCACAACAAGTGCATGCGCTGGCGCAGCCGACAACAGGCTTTTACTCGTCTTTTGTGACACCAAATAACGCGTCGGTATCTACGTCGCATAGTAATAGTGGTAGTAGTAGTAGTGGTAAAAAGAAAGATCGTGACCGTGACAAGGATCGGGACAAGGAGAAAAAACGGGGTAGCAATGAAATTGTTAAGTCAAATGGAAGTGGATCATTTCATTCGACATCAACATTACAAGGCGGAGCGGGTGGGCCGCTGCTAACACATTTGCCACCAACAACAAATATGACGTCAAAGAGCCAAAACCCCAACAAGGTAAGCATACATACGTATGATTAAAAAATTGTTAAATGGTGTCCAGTGTAACTAACATTTTCCCCATGTTCGTAACCACATTACTGTAAAGCAACAGTTCCCTTTATTACTAAACGATAATTGATGGAAATGTCCAGTATGCGCGAAAACAATTAAATGTCGAATTAGGAGGACTTATGTGTGTAGATGCGAAAATTGGGAATTTTTATCAAGTATAGTATAGGAATAAAACTGTATTTTTTTCAGTAATGCGACAGTCTGTGTTTACGAATAAGGGGTCTTTTCGTGATACGAAACTCTGCACAACATATTCATTCACAATTAATGTAGGCATTTACATTCATCTAATACTGTACTATGAGGTAGAACATATCATATAATTTTTAAATTACAAGATTACGAGTTACACTAGATATGTAATGTGAATGCTTGTAAAACAAAAATACATACTGCTGTACTTCGACAAAAAAAAAAACAGAAAACAACTAATACCTTCATACAAGTCGGCGTGACACACTTGCATAACAAAAATAGATTAGAGTGTTGGTTTCGTTGATTTGAGCACAAGCAAAAACTAACTGAGCCTTAATACCTACATTCAATACTACTCTACATTGTTTCCATGCATTCTATCACTAATCCCAATTTTGTGCTCACATGGGGCTTAGCAGATTTTTTTTTTGAGATTTTTATTTAATACACAGTCATACAAATACACACATAAAATAGTTGCCAGATAATCAGAAATGGCGCAGGATTAATAATACATATATGTATATATTCTGAGATAAAATATAATATGAAAAAAAAAACTAATCAGTGTGGTAATGGGTTTCCTAAACGCTTTAACAAGCGTGTTTTATCAAAATTTTAAGGCATTGGCTTGAATAGATTTGAAAATAATTTTACAGATGCAACTGCTATCGAATAATATGAACCAACTCTTCGGAGAGTCAAACGATGACGATGACGACTATGACGATACTAAGAGTGTTAATCATAAAAGTTATAAGGACTGTAAGAATAGAGTTCATAACTCGGATTCCTTCACATCCACATCTGCATCCACCAACTCCGCGAGTTCTATGCGTAAAGGCACTGATTACGGGCCAAAATATTCGCAATCGCAGCAATATAATCAACGATGATGAACCAAATCATCATAAAACAATTGGTAATAACAATAGGATATAATATGAAAAACGGAAATCGTAAAATGAAAACACTTTTATGTCGTTGATTAAGTGTTGATGCTTAACTCTTCGAAACCTAGGCGTCACAATAAGCACCTCACGTAAACACCGAAGTCTAAATTATTATCACTCCCGCCAAATAATTAAAACAAAAATTAATTAAGTATTATAATTTAGTTGCTATCTATATGTTGTTATAGTTTGCATTGGCTCTTATTTTTATATTTAATTTTCAAAAATTGAAGTCATTTTATTTAATTCGAGAGGTCAGTTTGTCACAATGCTTGAGGGCGGCTGAACTGATTTGGCACATTTTTGTATTATATTAGTTATTAATAAGACAAGGTTTGTATGAAAAAAAAATCTGCCCGTCAGATTACGCTGGAGTAGATATATTACTTAAAATCGTATTTATAGTCTTCATGGGAATATGAAAACCACAGTCGCTAATTTTGATCGCCAAAAATCTCCAAATGAATAGCAGACGGGTCTAACAACATGAAACATCTAGTTACATGAACCTCATAGTGCCAGATTTGGCTGGAGTGTATAAGTTGATAGTAATACTTAAAAAAAATCGGGTACGCCGTTTTGTAACCCATTCAATTTTCATCAAAATACCGTTGATTTTTGGCATTATTTTCCGGGTCTTGCATTTTCTTCCATATAAAAAAGTTTTCGAGCATACTTTACTTTAAACTTGCACTTTACTATACTAAAATTGAATGGGAGCTAGAGTCGATTTATTGACAAAAACTGCACTTTTGTTCCGATCTTGTTTTATGAACAAGTAATTTTTAAGGAAAAAACAAAATCGACTTCAATTTTCGTATAAAAATTTAGAAGTACCGTTAATTTTTCATGATCCAATGATCGAATCTAAACCAGATTAGTATGGGACACTACCTTTCCGATGCAAAAAGAATTTTCGAAATCGGTTGACATGGTCCAAAGTTATGCGTTAACATCCAAAAAAAAAAAATCTGACGAATTGATAACCTTCTCCTGGTCGGGTCAGGGGCTGACTCGTTGCCGAAATCTTGCTTCATGCAGTTCAAAAAGGTCAAGAGATTGAATTGCGAGTCTGCATGGCAAAAATATTAAGAGAGGCAAACAATTGTCCGCGTATTATTTTTGTGGTGCTGTTAACGGTATTTTCGAAAACTTCCTTCTTACCCCGATTTACTTCCTACAGAAGCAAGATGGTCTTGGACGACAATGACATATTAAACAATATAACTTTTCAGAGCACGCACTTTCAGAGAAGTTCACATACTGGAACAAGCGTCGTGTAGCCTTCTTGGGGCTTTAGACCCGTAGTCAGAGTGATAAAAGTAGATTTGAATTAAAACCACGTTTCAATGTAGTATATCGTCACCTGAAATGCAAAATATAGTAACAACATCGTCACTGAAGTTATAATTCGATGAAATCCATCATAGCAATCAGAAAGCTAATTTTGAGTTTTTTATAAGTTACGTCTTTTTGCATTTCAATGACGATGTTTGGTACGTCCTTTTGCATTTCAGGTGACGGTATGCTCGTCACTTCAGTAGAATTTACCGCTTACTGAAGACCTGGTGGTTGACGATAAAGCTGATAAGGTCGCTATCACGTACAGAGATCAATCCTCACAGACGCCGCGAATTCAGACAAAGGGAAACTTTGATATACAAGAAGGTATAATATCGGTAACTACCCCGGAACTCAACGGAACCTACCTAAGTCTCATAATTAAAGGGTTAAATTTGAATAAGAATTTGAGCTGGGTAGAAAAGATATATACCTCAGCGTTACGATAATAGTATACGGCTATATACTTGAAGAAGAGAGTTATAGGCTGGGTTTATGCAGCAGTTGTTAGACCATGTCCCTAAAATAAGTTTTTAAACACCTTTTACGATCTATATTCCTCTAAAAGGACTATTCTTGCTACTATTCTGTGACTTTCAAAATATTCAATAGACTCTAATTTTTTCTATGGCCGCATACCTTTTACGTTCCGCGTAAACTAAAGCTAGCCTTTTGACATAAGCTACTATTCCATATGAACACAGATACGTACATAAGACCAAATCAAGTTTTGATTTTTAAGTTTAGAATCAGAAATATACAGAAAAAGTTTTGAGGAACCACATCAAGTCTGCCACAAAGTTGGTTTAGTCAGTATATGTATTTCTTCAGACCACTTATTTCTGAAAAAGTTAAGATAAAAACTAAATTGCTATAGATCACCTGTTGAGAAACATCATTTTTGCAGACAAACAGAAATAAACTAAAATGGTCGTTCACAGCCATTCTTTTTTGCCGAACTGCCTGCTAACGAAATTGGTGTGAAGATCTCTATTGTTTCCATTATTTTTTCCAATCACAAAACTTGTGCATATATATGTACGTCTACTCATTAAGAAATTAATTATTATTAACCTTTGTTAAAATCTAAAATATCTATTACATCCTCAAACACCTTTCTTAGCTGTTAAAAAGCCTTTAAAAATTATATGAGTCAGTAAAAACCCTATTTCCTAATTGTTTGTTGAGCAATTGTCATTTCATGCAATTGATTGTCATTCATTTAATGCATTTATGTGTGTCTCGTGTGCTTTTGATGAACGTTCCAATTATTTTAATTTAATGATTGTAAAGTTGTAATTCATGTATACTAACCCAAGAACTATATTTTTTTAAATAAATATAAAATTCTTTTTTTACAGTTTTAAACGTGATGTTACACACTTGGCAGGACTGGCTTGTTAACGCCGCATATATGTTGACACCCAGCAGACTTTCACACACTTTACGTACATTTTACTGCTGCATACGTATAAGAAAGCAAAAAAGTTGCAAATGCAAAATAATAAAAGTAACAAAAAAAAAAAACACTCAAATATATGAAAATCGTAGAGAATATATAATTTAATGTTCGGCCAAGGCGTCTGTAATTGCGCCACTAAATAAAAAAATTATGAAAAGAATATGCATAATTTCATTCCTACATACAGAAATAATGCATAGTAGTAGGTACATCGCTGCTACTATATGCATGTGTGTATATCAACATACAATCGCGCAAATACGCAACGCTGCACTTGCGCTTAGTTACGCTTTTCAAGTTATATTTATTATTTCTATCTCCCAGTTTTTATATGTGTAAACGTGCATAGGCGGTTGTCCGTATTTAGAAGACCTTCGATTTTTGATTATAAGGCATTTTTTGATTCGGTTTTTATTCAAAATTTTGACACTGATTGCTTCAGTTGTAGTGTTCGTAGCATTAGTGGAAAATATACATACATATGTATATAACAAAATCAAAGCGTTGAATTTATTGTGTATTTTGAAATTCTCCAAAGGACCGTCTGCATAAGAAAGGCTATTTCAGAAAGAACTAATCACATATGTATGTAAATATCTACTCCATTTAACTTCAAATTGTATAGCCAGTCACTTGATATACAATTGAACTATATGACGCCTGAAAATCAAAAAAATTAATTAATTAATTAAATGATTCATAGTAACTTTCATGTAAAATAATTATGTCTATTCGGCCAAGTTAATTTACCGGTGGAAGTGAAAGTATTTCGAGAATATGCTTAATTTTCTATCCGTTGTGCATAATTAACTGGCATGTATGTATGTAAATAAAGCGGAAGAATGTATTCATATAGTAAACACATTAGCGTGGTC